GTTGAAGAAGGATATTCATTGGGTAATGTCTCCAAGAATTTCAACTGGATAAGCCATATCAGGTAAATGTCCATCTAAAGGCAGTTACTTTAGTTTTCTACTTTGGTGTAAGGCTTTCCTCAAGTAAATTACGTGGCTTACCAGAGCAAGATGTAAAACCTCTGATTTTTAAAGCCAAAAGGAAGAAAAAAAGACAAAATGCAATAGCACCACCTAAAGGGCATTTTAATAGTGATAAACACAAAATGAAGGTTGAAAACCAGTGAATATTTTTCATTTTGCCACATATGTATATACACACACACCCATACACACCATATATTATATATAAAACATATATATTACAGTATACCAGATTGTTATGATAAATGTAGTTTGACAGATGGTACAACATGGCAGTGGTCTCTGGAGCACTTAGATTTGGCTCCATATTCCATCTGGGGCAAAAAAACACCAAAATCAATCCACAGAAAGAATCATTTTGCAAGGTTCAAAATTCAGTTGAATGAATTCATACACCAAGATGATCACAGAACTAAATGTAAATGTAAGAGCTAAAACGATATATAAAACTCTTAGAAGAAAACACAGGAATAAATCCTCCTGACCTTAGATTAGGCAATGGTTCTTTAGATATGACACCAAAAACACAAGTGACAAAAGAAAAAAACTAGATAATTACACTTCACTAAACCTAAAGCCTTAGTGTTGCAAATGATATCAAGTAAGTGAAGACTACCCACAGAACGGGAGAAAATATTTGCAAATTACGTATCTGATAATGAACTGGTATCCAGAACATAAAAAAACTTATCACTCAACAATAAAAAGATAAATAACCTAATATTAAATAATGGCAAAGGATTTGAATAGCTGTTTCTCCAAAGATGATATAAAAATGCCAATAAGCATTTGAAAAGATGCTCAATAGCATTAGTCATTTGAGAAATGCAAATCAAAACTGCAGTGAGATTCCACTTCATATCTGCTGGAATGGTTATAATCAAACAGACAATAATAAGTATTAGTGAGGATGTGCAGAAATTGGAATCCTCATCCCTTGTTGGTAGAAATGTTAAACGGTGCAGCTGCTTTGGAAAATAGTTGGCAGGTCCTCAGAATGGAACTGTACCTCAAGTGAGAAAAGAATAAAAGAAATGCCATATTCATACACAAGAACATTCTTTAGCAATAAAAACAAAGTACTGACATATGTGATAACATGGATGAACCCTGAAAATGTCACGCTAAATGAAATCAGCCAGACACAATAGGTCACATATTATATGACTCCACGTGTATGAAATTCCAGAACAGGCAAATCTATAAAGGAATAAAGCAGATTAGTGGTTTCCAGGAGCTGAGAAAGTCCCCACTTTCTCAGAAAATGGGCAGTGGTTTGAGAGATGACAAAAAATATTCTAAAATTAGGTTGTATCGATCACAGAGCTGCACAGCTCTGTGAATATACTAAAACCAATGAATTATATATACACTTAATATACATGAAATGTATGGTATGTGATTTATATTTACAAGGCTGTTACATTCAGTTGAATAGTTCTGCGTTGCTAGCTCCCAGCAAAACAGAAGGTATTGCTTATATACAAAAACAAACCATCCACAGCCTCTGATCGTGATCCCATAGTTTGCAAGTCTCTTCTACCCAATTTTGAAGGGGGAAACAATGACAACTTGGTGAGGTCACACAGCAGCAGAAGTGGGACCAGAAGTTGGGATGCCCAGAGTTCCATGAGGGCCAGGACTAGGATGAGACAAGTGAGGCGCCTAGAGCGCCCCAGTGAAGGGAGGGGGTGCTCACCCCCATTCCTTCGTGTCCCAGCCCTGGTTCTTCTTTCCTTATCACCCTCCCTGAGAAGTTCAAAACAGGAACAGTTCAAGTAGAAGCGCTATTGTTTATTTGTTTTTCCTAAAAATGTTGTTAAAGAACAAGAAAAGATTTTTTCTTCCTGTTTACTTTAGGGAATACTTAGGGAAAAGACAGATGACCCAAAGAATGAGAAGTCAGGCAGAGCCTGGAAGAAAAACTAAGTGTGAAAAAATACATGCCTGCCAAGAGGACATGCTTTCTCTGGTGACCAGAAGTACCACCATCACTTATTATTTTTTTTATTTTTAATTTTTGAGATGGAGTCTCGCTCTGTGGCCCAGGCTGGAGTGCAATGGCTCACTGCAACCTCCGTCTCCCAGGTTCAAGTGATTCTCCTGCCATAGCCTCCTGAGTAGCTGGGATTACAGGCACACACCAGCACGCCTGGCTAATTTTTTTGTATTTTTAGTAGAGACGGGGTTTCACCATATTGGCCGGACTGGTCTCAAACTCCTGACCTCGTGATCCACCTGCCTCAGCCTCCCAAAGTGCTGGGATTACAGGTGTGAGCCACTGTGCCTCGCCCCATTTATTTTAACATTTTCACCTAGCATGGTCTTCCACAACATGTCTACTACAGCTGCCAGTGCAATCCAGGCTGGCCAACCCTCTTACTCATGTGTATCTATACCAACATGCCTCACTTGTTAGTGAGTTTCTTTGTGAGTGCAGTGGACATAGTGTAAATGCTACAATAAAAATGTTGCCTGATTGCTACCCAACAATCTTTCATTTTTTATTTACAAATCTAAGCAGTCTCTCTAAGGTAAGCTCAGCACATACTCCCCGCATGCTACATGGTTATATCCAATGCACAAACTCAGGGACAAAGTACTGAAAGAGTACATAAGCTCTCAGCTTTATTTTGCCCATTTGTTTACTTTGACATGAGATGGTGGTAGTAAAGATTAAAATGCTCTCCCATGTCTATCCCGATTATCGGTCCTGCCTGTTGATGGTATAAAACGGCTCATAAGGCCAGACCTTCTGTTTACATGTTCTGATTTATTTGCTGTTGTCAAAGATTCCCTGTTTATTATCCCCTCCAGAATGAGCTCCATGCTCCAGCTAAACATAGTTTTATACCCTTTCCTGCTTTAATCATAGCCAAATATTTGAAATCACGGACATGCTTGCTAACTCCAAGTTTAAGTATCCCATTACACAGCAAGTTAAATAGGTGCTTGGGCTCTACAGTTTTAATGTTTAGTTTTGCTGTATTTGTTTTTCTCAACAAGCATTGTACTTATTCTTAAATTTTCTTGTGAGGCTTTGCCAACAGTTGTTAGGTTTTTTTTTTCATGTACTTATATTGCTTGGTGTCAACTAGCATTGTCAAAGCCTTGCCAAATTTACTTTCTTGGTAGACCAAAGAGATTTGTGCATTAGGAGGAAAGCTCTTATGTCCACACCATTTACTCCTCAAGCAAGCACATAGGCTTAATGTTTAACAAGGACTCTACAAGACTAACTCATAGACAAGTCTGAAACCTCCCCCGACCACTTACTAGCTCTGTGCACGTTCTTTACCCTAGCTCTGCCTATTTTCTTTAACTGGAAAATGGTGACCAATATGACAGCTCCTCCCTCAGGCTATTGTGAAGATTAAATGAAGTACATAGCAATTACTCAATAGAGGCAGTTGCCATTAGTACTGTTGCTGAACTTTTGCCTTTAGGATGTTCCCATGACATCCTCTTAATCTGGTTTGCTTAGAGGTAACCAAAATATGATCCTCGCCTTTAAGAGCATATGTGCTAATTGGAAAATAAATACATTACTGACTCTACAACACTCAAAAACCTGCAGAATAGGTTTATTGCTTATAAACGAGAAAAAAATATTAAGCAATCAGTGTTCCCTCTTGGTTTTATGGATGGATGTATAACAATAGAATCAATATGCTATGAAAAAGCTTTATATTCCATTAGGAAATCTCATATACCTGACTGAATAGAACTATCCATTCAAACTTGTTTTCTATCTCTTTGTTTCTTTGGAATCAAGAGCAACAAATCTTTCCATAAAAATGCAAACATCACAGGGTTATTGATACTGTACAAAAGGAAAATTCTTACAGTTCTAGCCCAAGAGTCACTATCAGTTATTGGGAAATACTCTGGATTGGATTTCTTGGGTGCATTTTCTTTACCAACTTTTTTCTTCTTAAACTTAGCAATAGATCTTGGACATAATTTCAGGTCAGTACATATAGATCTACCTCGTGGTTTTAAACAGGATGGATACACTCAATTTACTGAACCAAACTCAAATTGAAGAATTTTTTGGTCACTTCCATTTTTTTTTCTATGACAAACACTTTTGTGGTCAAATTCCTAACAGTTTCACAATATGACCCAATCTCTGTGTTTGAAAGGCTCTTCCAAGTTTCATGATTATCTATAGAAATCAATGGCTACATCCATCCTCAAATGAGCCCTGCTATTTTATGTCCTCTTCTCTTTAGAAAACTTAGGTTATACTGTATCTAGGGGCATGGCTTGTTTTGTTCTTAACTTTCCAACATTACCTCTTCCCTGGGAAAATCACAACAAAAGATAAAAGCATCTGTGTCTACGTTAACAATCCTCTGAAAATCTGTTTCTCTGCTGTGGCCCATTCATCTGTTGACTAGCCCTTTGTTCTGTAGCAATTTCCAAGGAGGTCCAGGCCATATTAATCTCAGCTTCACACCTCACTGGTGCTACAGCCTCGGGCAAGTTACTTATCATCTCTGTACCTCAGTTACCTCAAGTGTGAAATGGGTATAATATAATTGTGAGGACTGAATGAATACAATGCAGAGTGCTTCAAAGAGTCCCTGGTATTAGCTAGTATTCAGTAGGTAGTAGTCATTATTGTTAATAGTTGTTTGGTTGCTTTTAATGATTGTTTTTTTGAGATAGGGTCTGGCTCTGTTTCCCAGGCTAGAGTGCAGTGGCATGATCATGGCTCACTGCACCCTCCACCTCCCAGGCTCAAGCAATTCTCCCACCTCAGCCTCCTGAGCAGCTAAGTTTTATATTTGTTGTAGAAATGGAGTTTTGCCATGTTGCCCAGGCTGGTCTCAAACTCCTGAGCTCAAGCCATCTACCCACCAGTCTCCCAAAGTGCTAGAATTACAGATGTAAGCCACCATGCCTGGCCATAATGATTCTGTTTAAAAGAACTGAAAATAACTGATTTCTGTCCCCTACAGGGAGAATAGCTCTCACTTGTTTCCATGACTGCTTCCGCTTTTGCCACCATCACGATTTAGCAAGAAATCTGAAGCTTGGGCCGTGTCTCTAAAACACATTGTGTTGCAGAGCCAAGAAGCAGCTGGCCATGAGGTCTACAGAGCACAGAGCAGACCGTGCTGCTTCAAAATACACGAACAAAATGCTCGCGTTAGAGGTTCATTACTTGGAGCTTTAGAAGTGGTTTGGTTATCAGGAATTTTCTGCAGAAAATATCGAAACTCCTGGGAGGAAGAAAACTTTAAGTTATCTCATAGCTCAGCAAAGACGAACTGACAGTCAGCTATGCTAAAACCAGGGGAAATCACAGCTGAGGTGGGAGGACCTGAGCAGCAGGGCGAGAAGCAGTCCTAGGGCAGGGGAGGCAACAGGACAGGAGAGACGCCTCACCCCCTTTGCAGGGTGAGGTTCCCAGGTCCTGCCATACCCCTAATGCTCCTAGGACACCAAGCCAGGTTTAGAGGCCCCTGGAGCTGGAGAGAAGAGGATGAGCTGTGTGTCCTGGGGTAAGATGGCCCCTGTGCCCTGTTCCACCTGCTAGTTACCCATGGCCACGGGCTTTTTTCCTTCTGCACACCCCTCTCATGGCAACTTCAACACTGACAAGTGTAGGGAAGAAACGACCATGGCCTCTTAGTGGGGAAGACCCTGTGTGTAAGGTCACAAGCCAAATGCCACCTTGCCATCAGCAACCCTAATGTGTTGCTTTTCTTACCTTGGGCATTTGCAGTAGGGAGACTGGTTTTATAACACACTCACTCACGGTCTGTCTCCCTACTTCATGAGAAGCCCCTTCAGAATTCAGATGGTTTTCACCCCTCAGTTCTCATCAGGGGACCCACATGATGTTTAGTGGGATGAATACATTGGAATCTGGGGCTCTGTTTTCCTCTGCATGTAAGTGACCCTGTCACTTGCTAACAGTGGTTGAAAGCCATTCCATGGCTGCTGTGGCCAGTGAGGAGGGTTCTGAGGACTGAGGCAGGCAGCAGGGTGAGACTTCAGGTGTGGGCTAGGAGCCCCGGCATGGCAGTGAGCAGCTCCCTATCTCCTGGGAAGAAGAAACCTGGCTCCCACCTGCTGCCCTCCTCTTACCTGCTCCCTACAGAGCGCTGTGCCAGCCCTGAGCATGCCCCCAGTACCATTCTCAGTAAGCCCAGAACACAAAGGCCTCTTCATGTTCATTTTTGAAAAAATTAATTTTCCTAGGAAGGGCTGGTGAAGAAGGCGACACCTTTATGCTCTCCTATCTTTTGCAGGGCTGGTCACAGCCGTGCGGTGGTAGAGGTACTCTCCCGGCCACCCTCCGTGATCAGCCTTAACCCTTGCACCTACTGACCTCTAGCTCCTTCACACACTGTCTGTGACCCAGACCCACCTCAAAGTCCTTCTGCCTCAGTGTAATGCATCTTATTCTACAGCCTGCATTTCCAATACACAGCACACACACACACCCAGAAGCCATCTCAGTAGTTAGCCTGCATGGTTTCACAGAGAACGACCACAGGCACAATTAGGCATTGAAGAAAAGCTCTCCGATGATGCCGCTGATTTGGCTGAAATCCCTCAAGTCTGATGATAGCACTGAGATACCAACCAGTCCACGAAAACAACTGACTGCTGCATCTTGGGTGAGTGGGTGGTGTACTCGGGTGGAGGCTGCCTGGGTCTTGGGTCTCTGATGAGAAGGGTTTTACACCAACGCAGCAGCCCTTGAAATTAATTTTCTATTAAAATCTAAGCCTCTCAGTCTGATAAACAAACTGCACATTTACTGTGGATTCTGTATCTGACCTTTTACCTGGTTTTGTCAACAAAATTTACTGTATTCATAAATACTAATGTTCTCATTTGGTTCCCTATCTTTAGTATACTGTAAATTATAAGCAAGTACATAAATGTCTTGGCCTGGTAATATAGTGGCCTGAAATGACTTCCTTTTTCCTTTAAAGATGTTGCATATTTTAATGGTAGGTGTTTTTAATTAACTTGAAGTGCCATAAACTGCCCATGTATGAACAAAGACAAGTGAGTTGCATTAAATTAAAAGTGCTGTATCTGACTAATGTTAACAAATTAGGCATGCCTTCAAGATGCACAATTTCTGTTTGGAGTTGTCATCTTAATGCAGAGATACCAAAGCTCTGAGAATAGCCACACCAAATGAGCCTTTCAAAACTAATATTTTGGGCAATCAATTAGGAATATGATTTCAAGCTTTAAAAAGATTCCCACTCGGGCATCTCAACATAGCATCCCTTCTCTTTTTCCTTCATAAATGAGCTCAATTTGGGGATCTGATCTTTTTGCCAATATCAGTCCAAATTAGCACTGTAAATATTGAAATCAAATGTTACTACTTGGCCTAATTTTCTTTCAGCCTGCAGTTAATCTTTATTCAGCCTTAATGAGTATTTATTGTGTGACCCTGACAGCTTGCTACTGCTGTGATAAATTATCTGACTCAAGTCCGATTAAAAATGCAACCCTGAGTGCTAATTATCTCAACAGACCTGCTTAATAATAGCATTTCTTGTCAATTATGGAATCTCAGCATGGGTGTCAATAGCAACAAATGCACAGGCCTACCTTGGACACTGACTTCCCATAATGCCCTTTTACTTGCCATATGTAAATCAGAGTGCTTCTGTACCTGTGATGACCTTTTATTAGCAAACTGTCAAAATGATAAAACTAGCCATAGCAAAACCCCCACCACCATACAATTAGGGGCTACAGCTTAGGACAACAGGAGGGCAATCAGACACAGCTAATTATGATGCATCTTACTTATGGCCTGTCCAGCAGGAAGAATGAGCTGTTTTTGAAATTTATGCCAGCTTCAGCATGGCCCTCAGGAGGGGAGCTGCTGGCAAGTGGGTTAAGGGGGAGGGGAGAGGCAAGGAACTGCGTATTTCTACAGTTTTTCTGGGAATCTGGAATTCAGTCACTTGCTGTGTGACACTGAATAAATCACTTCATCAGAAAAATGGAGGCAACACCATTCACCTCATTGGGGGCTAGGTGAGTGAGGGGAATGGAAGGTAACAAACGTAGAAACACCTAGCACAGTGCCATCCCATAGAAGGTGCTGAATATCTGCTCCCTTTCTTCCCATTCACCTTTTCCTTTCCTAACGATCAAGATAGCAGACAACAACAGCTAGAAGTACCATTTATGGAGCTCTTGCACGTACCCTGCACAATGTCTTATACGCAGCCTTCCTCCTTCACCCCTGTGGTCAGAACTGATGAGAACAGTGGAGCCGAAAGCTACCCTACCCAGATCATTTAGTGCAGTCTCCCCTTTGTAGGTACAAATGTCTTAAAGAATTCAAAGGCAAACACGACTCTCTTCTCAAAGGGTTATCTAAGTCAAACATTTTGCAACCTGCTTTGCTAATAGCAAATGGAGTAGTATGTATTTAATTGAGCAATAACTACATGCCAGTCACCAAGGGGAGTGCTTCACATCCCTGTAAGGTGGCTACTCTTAGCATCTTCCCTCTGGAGACTAGGAAAGAAGAAAGGTTAAACGACTTGTGTGACATCCGCAACTCGAAAGTTTCAGAGCCCAGGCTTGAGCTAGAGCCAAATACCCACTTCTCAAAATAGGAAAGCAATACATTTAAATTACCTCCACAAACGCTTTTAGTAGAAAAAGACAGGGTGACACAGGCCTGAGAATGTTCCCGATGCCGTTATCTGTTATGTGGCACTCTAACGATAAGGAACAATGAACAATACGTGCCTTTTGGGCTCTCTGCTGTGACAGACCACAAAGGCAGCAGGGCAGGAGGCAGGTCTGAAACATAAGCCTTGGTTTTCTCATGGGGCAAGGGGTGCTGGGAGTGAAGTAAGATGAGGCAGTATTTGGTCACATGACCTCAACCATTATCAACCTTGGGTGGTAATTTATGGGGCTCTAACCTCCTCTGGCTTAATCCAGAGAGGCTTGTTTTTCAAGATGAAGCAATTCTGTCACATCAAGGCATTCCTGCCTCACCTGCCCACCTTGCCCAGGCCAACCTGACAAGAACCCGGAATACAGCAGGGTTCTGAGCATAACTTGAAGCAATATCCTCAGATACAGTTCTGAATTTTCCCAGATTGGAAGGGCACTGTCTCAAGTGAACCCCTATTAAAACACAGATGTTCACATCCCCTACATCCGGACTGCCCGGCCTAGGCAGACAGAACACAGAATCCATCCTGTTCTGTAAGGGGCAAACGGCATTTCCCTCGTGGCCACACCCAGGTTGTGATAAGGATGAGGGTCGTGGGAAACAATGCAGGGAAAGGAGGGTAGTGTAGACGCCTCCACTGCTAGCTAGAGGCCGCGCTACATGGCTAATGAAGCCCAGATGCTGGTCTCTCAGTGACTGACCCGGGGAGATGCGAGAAAGGAATGCGATCATTTCCGTCTGAAGTAACGTGCTCCCTCTTCCCTAACACCTCGGGCCCACTTCATTACTTCCTCCACAGATGATCTCAAATTGGGAAGCCAATCCTTCCCCTGGAAATGATGCCAAGTTAGTGCCACGAGGGTGTAAATCAAGTGTTTCATGAACACTGTGTGGGCTAATTTCTTTCCAGGGGTACTCAAGTCAGACATCTCCCTCTCATGAGCATTCGCTGCTTTCCCATAAAGTGAGCCTGCCTGTGCTTCCTTTGATGAGTGCTGCTAATTGTCATTTGGGGTGAGCTCCAAAGCTCTTTCTCTAGGGCATTAGCTGAGAGTTAATGCGTTCCACAGAGATATCTGGGGCCGTGTTCAACATTCCTGACGCTTCTTATCACCCTGTTCTTTCAAGGTAAACCCAGATTTCTGCCGGGAATAAAGGCTTGTGGGTTTAAGTCTGTCTCCTGATTTTCATACTTTGATTCCTGACACAAAGCAATGCCGATGTGGAAATTATTTTGTACCACATTTCCTCCTTGGCGTGTCCTTCAACAGCCATTCAAATTCCACTGCGGTTTCACAGGAACTATGGAAACATGTCCTCTATAGAAGTTTAGCATGAAAGCTATTACCCTACTGGGCAGTGCCCAATGGTCCGACACTATTTACATTCCCTCTGAACACTATTACAAAAGGAACTACATCTTGCTGAACACTTTAGCAACAAGGAACATAATACATGTGCCCGGTGTGCGGTTAGATTCATAGCTGTAGTCTCTGTATTCCAAATTGTTCTATGCACGAGTCCAGTGTAAGAAATAGCGTGTCTCAATGGCTGTGTCTACAGTGCATAAGGTCTTAATAGCCTGTGCTTGCCTGAAGACCAATCCCTTAATTTTCTGGTGGTCTGACCATTTGCCATTTGGCTTCCTATTTTGAAGAATATGCTTGTTGACACATTTTACTGAAAAATCAAGTAATCTGAAATACAAACTGTGACTCAAGTGGCGGACTATAATTTGTTTTGTAGGTGGGTGCCCAATTTGAGCAGCTGTTATCTACTTTTTTCATTTTGTAATGTTGACCAAATCTTAAAAAAATTTTGTTTCACAGTCCTGGTCTCAGGCCAACAAAATAGTCCCTGGAACTTGACTGAAACATATGGATGTGAGATTTCTTTTTTTTTTTTTTTTTTTTTGGTAAAGTCATGTTCTTCCAGAAATTGTGCAGGGGTCACATGAGAATCTTGGGTGCTGCCACTTGCCTGACGCTGTTTCCACTAGCAACGATCTTCCTGAAAACACATGTCAGCAGTTAGCAATCCAGCAGTATGACTGAAGCCAGCCCTAGGGAGCTTCATTTCTATTTTGAGGCCTCACTGGGATTCCAAGAGACAGAAAAAGAATTTGGATCCTTTGGTTTTGCAGGAAACTCCTTGCCTAATTTATATTTCTCTAAGCCACACCCTGTTTGGAACCCTGTCATCAGCTATATGGTGTGACTGATAACACATTTTGGATTTCAAGAAATAATCTTTGACTCCTCTCCACTATACATTATCATCTTAAAACTATCATGAGACCCACAGGAAAACAGTTCTTCCAACTAGGATCTTTGGAAAAGTGATGCAGAACTTACTCTGGTACTTCTGGGGGTACTGAAGTAAAAAAAAAAAATTTTAAAAAAACCTTGTTTCGACAGTGGACAACAGGACTCCAAGATGGCATCAGTCGTACCACTGAAGGACAAGAAACTTCTGGAGGTCAAATGAGGAGAGCTGACAAGCTGGATCTTGATGTGGGACTTCAGCCCTACTGGCATTGCTGGAGTGTTTCGAAGAGGTCACCACCAGTACTATAACAAATATATCAACGTGAAGAAGGGGAGCATCTCAGGGCTTACCACGGTGCTGGCATGCTACGTGGTCTTCAGCTACACCTTTTCCTACAAGGAGCTCAAGCATGAGCGGCTCCACAGGTACCACTGAAGAAGAGGACACACTCTGCACTCCCCTCTACGACCTTCTTGGCTTGAGCCCCTCCATAAGGAACACAGTCTCGATCATTGCTGAATCATTTCATATCCTAATGGAATTAACTTCCAAATAAAAGATGACTGGTAAAAAAAAATCCCAAAAAAACAACAACAAAAAAAACTTGTTTCAGGGCTGGGGCTTAAGGACACCGCTGTTGGGCAAGCAGTTAGAAAATAAAGTAAATCCAGAAGCCGTGATTTCAAGCAGAATTGAGTGTGGGTGCTGGCTTTATGAGGATTATGATAGAGCTAGCAAGTAAGATGTCCAGGAAAGCACAGCGGGGCAAGCTGTGCCCAGCACCAATTTCCTGGACTAGGAAAAGCTGTCCTGATCATCCCCCTGAGTTTCAGTGCAGCACCTGCTGACTCCTGACCTTAGTGTGGGCCAGCAGGGTCCTCTGCACCTCTTCTCTAAGCCTCAGGCCTTGTGGGTCCCTAAAATCAGATATTTTCAGTTTCTCCTCCTCCTCCTCTCTGAAAGTTACTACTACGTCCCACACCCAGGTCAAGTTACACCCGTCCATTTTTAATGGTTATTTGATTCCCTCCAGACCAGCAACCAATACCTATCAGGGGTTGTGGTTTGTCACCATGCCTTTGCTGGGAGTTGTCAGAACCAGCTGCATCAGCACTGCCTGGGCACTTGTTAGAAAGGCAGAATCCTAGACTCTATTGCCAGACCTGTGGGATTTGTATGCACTTGAAGTTTAAGAAGCACTGGTCTGAAAATGATAGGTCTTTCTTGAAAGTAACTTATTTCTGAGAGTTCATGAGTGATCTAGGATTCTGGGCCAATTGACAGAATATTGACAAACATAGCTGCCTTCTAAAACCTCAGAGGTGGAGTCTTCTTTCTGCAGGCAGACTCTGATTTACAATTTGACTTACAATTTTTTTGACTTTATGATGGTGCAAAAGTAATACACATGCAATAAAAAGAGTACTTTGAGTATGCATACAACCATTTTGGTTTTCACTTTCAGTACAGCATTCAACAAATTATTTAACCCTCTACTATAAAATAGGATTTGTGTGAATTGATTTTGCCAGAATAAAGGCTAATATAAGTGTTCTGAGGATGTTTAAGGCAGGCTAGGCTAAGCTATGATGTTCGGTAGGTTAGGTGTATTAAAAGCCTTTTTAAGTTAATGTATTTTTAACTTATGATGGGTTATCAGGACATATCCCTATTGTAAGTCAAGGAACATCTGTAATTGGAAATCCAGGAGATAGGTTTAAATCTGTAGCAAATTTATTTTGTCTAAAAGAGAAATAAAATGTTTTGGTTACCACACACACCAAATAAGAATATATAATTTTTGAACAATTAACCTAAAGAAGATATATCTAATAAGCAAGCTGAAGGCACTTTGGGATCTTCCAGTGTCTCATATTTAGCACCAGCTGACAGGGGCTGGGGCTAAAGCAGCCTTTGTTTTCACTGAAATTCTACCGGAAAAAAGTTCTAGAGTCTCTATGATTCCCCCAATGACCAACTGAGTTTCCCTGAAGTTTTGGAATACTCAGTATTCAGAGGGTTGTGAGTAGCTTCCAAAAATAGATTTCTGGGCTGCATGTCATCCCTAATAGAACAGAATCTCTAGATGTTAGGGTAGGTATTTGTGGTTTTAAATCTCCCTAGTGACTGTGGAAGGACCACAAGTGGGAGCAATTATTCTAGGCCAATGAGGTGTTCCAAAGGTGGCTTCCATCTTATGTTGCAGCTACAACTTCAATCACAAACACAGATTTATACACAGAGAATTTGATGCTACAAGTCCTTGAACTTGTACCTACATGTTTAGTAAACTACAGTGGTCTTTTATTCCACTGAGGACAGCATATAACTGTAATACGTAAATATATGCTACCAACAAATGCTACTGTCCTAAGGAGAAAAAAGAATTCCAAGTGTTCTGAGTAGCTATGCTATGCCCACTGCATTCAATCAGAAATGTTCCTAAATTCTTTGTTTTCAAGCAAACTTGGCTAAAGTCTAGATCATTTTATAGCGGAATCAAAAAGCAATTTGTTTTTCTTCTCAGAGGTGAAAATATAAAGCCTTTTATCTGTTACATATGCCATGATATCTAAAAAGCAGATGATATTATACATTTTGATTATCTTCAAGAGTCGATGTTTTTGTTTCTTTCTAATAGATTATTTAATTACTCTGCCAAAGAGTGCTCATAATATCATGTTTGCAAAATAGCTTTAAATGCTTTCAAATACTGCCAAGATGGAAATAACTGAGTTATTTTGCTTTCTGTGGACAGTTCAATTTCATTTCATCTCTGAATATACTTTTTCTTATGGATTTATAACTACAATAGTGGCCATCCATAAAGAACAATATAATAGGTACTAATAATCCGCCACTCACAGTCGTTCTGTTTTTGGTATGTGTGGCTCACAAGAGCCTCTGCTATTCCTTTCAAATGAATCTGCTTTCATATAGCATTTATTGCTTGACATTTCACATAATTTAGTCAACACTCCTTAATTTTTTCCCCTTTGATCCATACTTATCTATAAACCGACCAAACAAAAAAACTATAAAAGTCTAAATGTAGTGAATTTCTCCTTTTTCCTCCCTTCTCCATCTATTTGGTTATTTACATCACTAGTGACAGACTATAATAAATTGCCATCACCATCCACTCCTCACTGTGGATCAAAGCTTTGGAGTGCTTGATGAAAATTTATTAGACTTCTGCCTACTGATTCCCACCTGGCTGCTCACCGCACCCTTGGCCAGCGCTGCCTTGAGCTGGCTGGAGACGGACACTCTGATGACTAACAGCTGGGTGTCTCAGACAAGCCCTCTTTACCTCCAGCCTCCATGCTTTCTTGCATGCTTGCTTTCCCACTTCTCTTTCCTTATCTTACACCTAGATCTTTGGTCACATCACGGCAGAGGCTGCCAAGTATGTCAAAAAGAGGACATGGGGGCGCAGGGGTGGGTGTGGCCTGCAGATGGTCTATGTGCTGTACCAGGCCACTGGAAGGTACTGCTGGACTGGTGATATTCGGGTCACTGATGTGGGGTAGCCAGCCACTGAAAGGTCCTGGAGAGGCTGAAAATCACAGGCCATGCAGAGAGAAACTCTCTGAGGGGCTTTACTCTGGGAGATTTATAAGGCCCAGGGGTGTTTACATCTGTGCTCAGTTTTGAGCATTTTCCCGACTGCTTCATGCCACAGTCCTCCAGCTTATCACTGCAAACATGACCAAATAAAAACTACATGTGGCATTTGGTATAACTTATACAGAGGGGCAGCTGTTGCATCCCCTTCACCTGAGGCTCATCTAATCAAACAAATCTGGCAAGAAGGATGACAGCCTTGAAGGTCCAAAAGCAGCATTATTTTTTTTCTGCATTCCCTTTCCCACTATGTATGCCACAATGTCTATGGAAAAAGAGACCAAATCAAAACCTTCTAAGAGTTGGTTGTGACTGTACCGACTTAGCATTTGTATACCCTTGTATTTTCCGTCCCCTCTTCTGAAGATTCACTTCAGGCATATGGGAGCACTTACATCCAAAAAGTCAGGAACAGAAACACAGTGACCATCTGTATACTGATAACCTACAAGGGTTTGCAGATAGTTGCTAGCTCATGTTTTTGGTGATTAAAAAGAGAATGGGGGCTCCTGGATGTAAAATATCATACGTGAAGGTAGCATTTGAGTTTTGGAACTTTTTCACTTGGCTCATTCCACAGTTGTGCAGCGTTCTACCCTATGTCAGCAATTAGAAAACTGAGGCATTCACTTCACAGATTTCTACCTGCCCTTAGAAGACATCCATTTTCAGTATACCCAGGATGTCCTGACGTAGCTAAAATGTGCACCCACTAACTCACAAGGCTGCAAAGACGCCGAATTCAGCAGGCCCTGCTGTCAGTCACACCCTCATCCACAACAGCTGCTCTCATCAGTTACAACCTTGGCATCCCTGTCTAGATGTTATTGCCTGGACTCCTCCAATTCCATAGTCATTCAGATAAATTCCATAGAACATTACTGACATCTAGATATTGGGAGGCCAGGGAGAGTTGAGGCGAGAGAAAGGGACGAGTTGGGAAGGGAAGGATCTGTGATGCAAGGCAATTGTCAACACAAGCATTCCGGCTGATCATGCTGTTCCGTGGGCTCCGTTTGACCTCCACCAGCCTTTCCATGGTCACGCCCTCCTGTCATTCCCCAGTGTTTTCTTTTCCTGGGAAGCGGAGGCCTCCACACTGTCAGCCTTTAGAGTGCATGTGTAGTTCCAGGACCCAAACTACATGCAGTGAAGTGCTGCCTTGCCCATACATGATGCTGACCTTCACCCTGTGGGTCTGAGCCACAAAGTGCGCTCTTGTGGTCATTTAAACGTCTGCCTCCGGCTGGGCAGCTCACTTAAGGTGAGGAGTTTGAGACCAGCCTGGCCAACATTGTGAAACCTGTCTCTACTAAAAATACAAAAATTAGCCAAGCATGGTGGCATGCGCCTGTAATCCCAGCTACTTGGGAAGCTGAGGCACAAGAATCGCTTGCATCTGGGACGGGGAGGTGGCAGTGAATCAAGATTGCGCCATTGCACTCTAGCCCAGGCAACAGAGCAAGACTCTGTCTCAAAAACTAAATTGATAAATAAAATAAACAGTCTGCCTCCTAGCCAATGCTAATCTTTAAGAAGCTGCCTCTCACAGGTCTGCCAGTCTCAAGTTTACCCTTCATGATCTCTCCACAGTCTTCTAACCCCCAACTTAGGAACTTCGCAGGATTCCTGACTTCAGGGTTTCTTCCCTTTTACTAGACACTCAGCTTCAGACCTAAATCAGAGAGACAATTTCCCTGCTTTTCGCAATACTTTTGATACAAGCTCATTCCACACTCCACCCCTCTTCGTAAAACACAGGCATCAATTCGAGCTTTGCATTGGTTAACATTTTCAAGGTTCGGCCTTTGCGGTACCATCATGAGCATATCAAATGAGACGATGTATTCCAAAGTATTTTGTAATCTATTAAGTAATATAGAAGTGGTTAGTTAGGTCGGCCAGATACCAGGGCGTTAGGACTCTTTTCTTTGCAGAGTTGTTGAGGCTATACAGCCTGATGTCACAGCAGGAGTCTCGGCTGACACCCTAAGCAGTTGACAGTGAATCACTTGCAGGACTAACTATGCAGAGCTGCTTCAAACTCAAGATGGCTCAGTGCCCTTAGGCACAACCAGATCCATTGCCTTGGAACGCCATCCCTCCCAAGAGGGATTGGGATCATCCAGTGGCCTTATCTAGTTGACGAAAATAGATCTACAGAAGACTACCCATGAACAGCCACTATCACATCCATGGGACCTTTGAGTAGGTCTAGGTAGGCGTACACTTTACCAAAAACCAGGATTCTTATGACACCAGCCCTAAGGATCTTCAACCTATAATAACTGAAAAACCAAATGTCAAACACAGGTCTGGTCCTTATGGAAGCCATTCTAACTTTGAACCAAACTTGGTTAACAAAACTTGAAATCTGTATTGTCCAAGGGACCTACAGAGTGTCCATTGTGTGCCATGAGCTTGATATTTAGCCAAGTACATTGCCTGCATTGTACTACAAAAGACTACACCAAGCAGTTGGTCCTGATGCTGGTGCTTATACTCAACAATTCTTCCAAAAGGCAGAGAACCAAATAAGGAGGACAGAGCACTGGTCCCACACTATGGGAATAAGACAAAAATACTGCTCAGGCATCTCCTAGTTTTAGAATCAACACATCAGAAAAGACATCTGGTATAAGAAGAGAAAGACAGTGGGTTCGCCACACTGCTGACATTATACAGCCTCCCTCCTTTGCTGCTTCTGTGTCTTTCCACAGATTGAATTATTGAGCAGAGCTGAAGGTTCTGTCTCCTTTCATGCTCACTACATTCCCTCCTATAGAAAAACTACAAAAGCCTACTCTTTGGGGAATTGAACCAACACAGAATGTTCCTTGCATATACCAGTAGGAAAAACTGGTTAATGACTAGGTGGGTTGGGTGGGCACTCAGAGCAGCTGTGTCATCAGTAGTTCAAGGCAATATAATAATGAGTCTGTGTTCACTTCCAGGGACATAATGACTAAGAATTGGCACCTGCCCTCAAGGAGCCCACAGTCTAGTAGGGAAGGCAGGCTCACAAATGGAGTAACTTAACTGCTTTGCACAAGGTAGAGGCAGCACCTAGCATAGAAGGGATAATGACCCCTCAGGGGTGGAGAGGGGTCAGAGATGACATTTCGGAGGAGGTAAGTTGTGAAGAAACAGCTCAAGTTTATCAGCCCCAAAAGGGGATTAGGGGACAGATCCTGGTACCCAATGAAATGGTTCCCATGTTTCACCTGTGTCACCAATCTCACTAAGGGACCTTCCCCAACTTTCCGTGAGGGGCTCTGCCCATGCAGACACAACCTATGAGTACAAAGTCACATTCTAATCCACCAATTCTCTCTCACATTCTTTCATAGGTCTCACAAGTAAACCAACAGCTGAAATGCAGATCTGGCTACAAGAAGTTAAATCCCTTTAGGCCTTTCCAAAGTGGCTGAGCTGTAGCTGGCAGTGGAGTTTTTCTCTGGACTACGAAATCACTGAGGGAAAAGGGGCTGGAGAAAACTGGAACCAGCTACAGGGCTGGGGGAGTGGAATGAAAAGCATGTTCCTTTCTATTAAAATCAGATGTTACCAAATTTCATCTGTTTTCTTTCCATGTACAGAAATGCCCTTGAAACATGTTTGAGACATGTTTAGGAAAAAACACATTAAGATATTTTTATTCTTATGAGAGTATAACATGGAGGGATTTGAAGCCATCTGCTATCAATAGTCAATATACAAATCTTATCTACTTGATCTCTTAAATGTTACCAAGTGGAACCACATCCTGATCAACAAAGAGTCTCATCATATTAAGCAAAATCATCTTTAGCAGAGAGCAATGTGCAGTTTCCTCTTGTTGCTCTAAAGGCAGTAGCATGGGATATTAGTTACAGCATTAGCATAATCCTGAGCTTACTTTATTTTAAAAGCATGGAACAAATATTTGATGATGCCTCAAGTTTTACCGAACTCAAGTTTTTCCAGCTGGCAAACCACAGGCTGAAAAGTTAAGTCATATAAGGCTTTATAGATCCATGTACTAAAAATATTCCCAGCCAATGGGTAATTTTTAAAGCTGCTCTAATCCTACCTGTAGGTGGATAAATTTTAAGTCTGAACAACATTTTAAGGGGTAGGCTTTTTGTTAACCATAGCCAAGAGGTAAAAACAGTCCAAACCCAATTCTGGCATTCATTTCCAAGGTCATGTTTGAAATTAAAATTTATGTGTATAAAAAGGATTTACAAACTTAAGGCTGAACCCAAAATGTGACATTTTAGTTACCATGACAAATGACAAATCTAGCCCTTTGACTTCACACTTAGCTGAAGTGCCTGCAGCTTACTGCAAGCTCAGCTCTGAGAGGATGAGCGGAGAGTAGGCTTCAAAAGGTTCTGTGGTTTGGCTGTGGGGCCTGACCTCAGAATCCACCTACTCAGAAAGGTCTGGATCCTAGGAATCTCTAAAGAGGCTCCAAAGAGGTGGCACGCACGCACCTATATTCTTTGGGGGTAGAGGGTTATGAAGGATAAAAAAGACAAATTTAACTTGAACAACTAGAAAATAAATGGACTGAAAAGTATGTTTAAACCCCTTGACAGATCAAAAATCTGTAAAATATATAATTATCCTAAGTTAGGGGCTGAGTCTGTGAGAAGGCAAGGAATACAGCTTCAATGATCTGGAGTAAGGATGGATGTTTACCTTGGGTAACTGTAACACAGTCAGCTTCTTACTGGGGGTGTCATCAGAGAAGCCACAGTGACAGTATTCACACTGCCTTGGCATGGCAGATAAAGGCATACATCCTGAGCTAGGTCACTTGACCCGTGACCCACTGAGCATCCCACCTCTTCCCACCCTGGTGTCCTGCCATGCCCTGCCCTGCGGTGTGCTCAACAATCCCTCAGCCAGCCCTTCCCAGTTGGTCTGTATAGGAACTAGTGAAGATGGGACTTTAGATGTCTAACTGCAAACATCCTAGAGGCTTCCGACAGATATCACTTGTTCTTCTGTAGTAGCCCTGCTCAGGCATCCAATCCACCATGGCTTTTAGAGGTAAATACTTTGGTTAGTGGGGTCCATGGTGTTTCTTCTTCCTGCTTCCTTTCACTGGATGTCCTGCTCAACTACTCCACCCAGCCTGGCTCGGGTTGTATCTCACTGATCATGCAATATCAGCAAAGGTGGCCCTCTGGAAGCACAGTGCCTGCTACCATCTGCAGAGGGACACTATCCGTAGAACAGAGTATGGCTGGCAGTGGGTGTGGCTGCTGAGCTTGGGAACACTAATTTAGGATGGTGGCTTTGGCAGGGCCTCCTTGTCCATCTGTAATATCAACCCTGTCCTCCATCCCTCAAAAGAGAAGTACTACCTTGTACTCCAGCAGCTTTTCAGTATTATGATTAGTCAGCCCATACACGAAGGTCAAATTCAGCAACTCAAAGACAGGTGGCTTAGGGTATCAACTGGTAACGTGTAAATGCAGTGACTTCCGTGACAATCAAATGTGTGAAGGTCGAGGCCCACAGGTGGAGAGCAAGGCAGCCCATCACTCCAATCTGTGAACAAGGTCACTCTCTAAGCATCACACTTGATTTTCCAGGCTGCGAACAGGACTGCTTTCTAATTGACTTCTTCCAACTAAATGACAATTAAGTTGCCTGACCAATAAATTCTTGTGGTTTGGTCTACACAGATTTCTTAAGAAGTATATTAGTCTCTTGCATGTTCAACACGGGTTTCTGCCAGATTTGTGAAGTAATAGTAAAAAGTGGTCACAAGTGAAACACATCCTTTGTAACTCATATGAAAAGGATGCCAACATGCACTCCCTGAGTTCTGTGTGTTTTTAGAAAAAGCGGTATAATTTATATCATTTCATTTACAACAGTGCTAAGTTAATGCTCTTGGCTGCTTTTGACAGAGGCCTTTCCAATCGAGCTGCAATGATTTGTTTCTCTTAAACACTCAAGGACTTTTAATTAGCTTTCTAGAGTGTTTTCCTGAAGGACATCACCTCCTTACAGCCTTGTAAGTTTCCAGACTTCTTAAAAAAAAAGAAGAAGCTAAGAGGCATTCTTTGGGTTTCAGGATTTCTGTGAGTCAGGAACAAATCTTTGTTTTGTGAAATTGGGTCCAACTGCTTACTGGGAATCACGTAGAGAGGCTTCTTTCTCCATCCCCCCAGCTCAGTCCCCAGACCTGCTCAGCAATTTGGCTACATTTATTATTTTACAACTAGTGTTGAGCTTTGGCACTCGCCCACCACCCTTTAGGGAGTGCTTCATTAAGAAAAGGTCATGCCTAATTGTGGTCTCATATATTACCACTCCCAGCTGACACTATTGTGTAAAAACATGCCTTTTAGTGACAACGTCACTAAAGCTCAACAAGGTTAGCCAGATTATCTTTAGTGAATAAAATTCTCAGAGGCTTCAATCAGCACCGCCAACTTTTGAATCTGTGCCTATGACATACAGCAGGTCCCAAACTCAACCACAGACACCTTTTTTCTAAGGGCATCTCATGAGATGCATGCTCTCAAGAACTCACTTTGGGGCAGGCTGACTTCATTCACTGAATTAGGAGAGCGCTGGAGGAAGGCACAGATGACCTTGTTGTGTTCTGATTGAGTGGGATGGGATCGCAGAGATGAAGTAGTGAAGGAGGGTCAAAGAAGTCAGTGAGTAGGGTACAGCAGATCTTAAACGTGTTTCACAAGAATCAGAGCCTTTACTTGGCTCTGAGAGCTGTCATGATGAAGTACAGGGAACGTAGTGGAGGGGCTGATGTGGCACCTGTGAATCTGCATCTATCCTCTCCCCTTTACATACTCATGAGAGCAGGCGAGTAGTCATATATTACAAAGCTCGGGGTCCTCTGACTTCGCTCACTGATTCCGCCAGGTGACCAAAGACCCTATTAAGATCATGCTCATTGGGGGTATGACCCAGGCATTCCAAAGCTTTTAAAGTGGGAATGCTTTCAGGGAGAATAATGTACTAGGCCATGATTAGTCAATGCCCTTGAACCTCATGAGTCGCTCATTATTATTCCCTAACATCCCCTCCACTTGGAATCTTCATTTATTGTTCCGTTTTCCACTCCTAACAAGGCCTCTTAACACTACTGTAGAGAAAGTCTATTTCCTCTTCATAAAAATGCCAGGGATTGCTCTTCTGGAAGAAAGGGCCCTGCATTGTGGGCTATAGAGTACAAGGCCAGAGAACACCAGGCAAGTCACACCATGGCTCAAAAGGAGGATGGGGTGAACATGTAGTCACTCCAAACCTCACCTCATGGTTCTGCCTACGGCCAGTCCAGGCTGCTGAGGACATCTGCCTCCATGACTGTCCGAGAAGAACATTCGCAAATTGTCAATTCAACCACTAGGGGACCAGGAGGCTGGAGAGTCCAGGCTGCTGAGGACATCTGCCTCCACGACTGACCGAGAAGAACATTCGCAAATTGTCAATTCAACCACTAGGGGACCAGGAGGCTGGAGAGTCCAGGCTGCTGAGGACATCTGCCTCCACGACTGACCGAGAAGAACATTCGCAAATTGTCAATTCAACCACTAGGGGACCAGGAGGCTGGAGAGGCAGCAGACTCTGTGGAGTGCTACTGCCAAAGCAGGAGTCTATTTATTTGAGATCATATTGAGGCAAGGCTGCACATGAATAATGGCAAATCTCACTTTTGAGTTTTAGTAGAAAAATTAAATGTGCTAGCTCACAAAGCCACTTGTTGATGGAGAGTTTGTGCCATTGACTCAGTTCTGCTCTGCCCTGAGTCTGCATTTTTCTCTCCCTTTCCCCAGTGGCAAAGGCCTACTTGGATCTGACACAGGAATCATGTTTGGTTCTCTCCTGGGTAAGTGAACTGAATTTAAATCCTCAAAGCACTCCTCCTGTGAACTTCAGGAACAGCAGTTAGACCCTGACATCAGTTGGCCACATTTATTTCTCAAATTTCTAGCTTTTGTGTCCTAGATATTAGACCCCACTTGGCACTTGAGAAGTGGTTCAGTGCTTTAGTTATAAACTAAATAACATAATTTTGTGCTTTTATTTTCTAGGCTGTGATGACATAAGGGATGATGTTCAAGGTAGTCTCAGAGGAAGCAACACCTCGAGGTAGTTCATCTAACGGGAAATTTCTGCAGGATTTCAAATGACGCAGCTGGTGTGAAGCATTGTACATTCAAGAACACCAGATACAGATACATAAGAAAGTGAATGAATGAAAACAAACTACACATTCAAACGGAGTGCTCTGGTTACCCTGGACTACTGTACTTCCTACCCAGTTCAGTTCCATTGATATAATATCCTACCATCCAGAAGATCCTATTTTAAGACACTATCTTGCAAATGCCCCTGCTCTATACTCAGACTACTGCAATTATGCAGTAAGATTAATGAATTCACAGGCTGTTTCTGAGGATTTAATGACTTCTTAATAGAATAGGGTGCACATACAGCTAGACTACTATAACAAATCATACAAGCGTCTTAATAAGAAACCCCAATTAGTTAATTAAAATTTGCTAATTGAAAATTCTAAGAATAGCATGTAAAATATTCCAGACCTTGAGATAAAGCAGTAAAACACATATCTAACGTGCCCACCAGATAAGTTTTACATATCATGCAATAGGAGGCCTTGGTAAGTAAAACAAGAAATGAGGGAATAGGTCATCACATAGAAACCTTGAAAGTGGTCTAATATATCAAGGGTGAGAACTGGAAATTATTATTATTTATCACACAGAGAGCAGGTGCAAGGAATGGGGTTACCTTTATTAATTTACTCATACATTTCTTATTCCCATACTCCTTTACAGATTCATTTCTCTGTAACGGTATAAAGACACATTTAAGAAACATTGCCTGGATCTTACCAACTTTGGATATTTTAATATTCATTCCTGTTCTTAAAAGATGCACTTGAGGCCGGGCGCGGTGGCTCAAGCCTGTAATCCCAGCACTTTGGGAGGCAAAGGCGGGTGGATCACGAGGTCAAGAGATCGAGACCATCCTGGTCAACATGGTGAAACCCCGTCTCTACTAAAAATACAAAAAATTAGCTGGGCATGGTGGTG